GCACAGGCTCCGGACGCGCAGGCCCAGCGGCCGTGGCTCACGGGCCCAGTCGCTCCGCGGCATGGGGGATCTTCCCGGACCGGGGCACGAACCCGTGTCCCCTGCATCGGCAGGCGGACTCTCAACCACTGCACCACCAGGGAAGCCCTATTCACTTTTGATAGCAATTTTGAAAACCCCACAAGGAAAAAAAACATAAGAACAATGCTTTTTTTTTTTCCTTTTCCACATAAATCAAAACTAACGGCATCAAATTATTTTGGGCAGAAACCACATAATGTGAGTTTGGAAAGGAGTTTGCAAATGCACCAAAAAGCCCACCTGTGTTGCAGAATGTGTGGTGAAGTTAAATTTCTGTTTTACGAAATCTCCTTGGGCAGGGGGCAATTTTCACAGAGGATGAGGGTCTCGTATCAACGTAACACAGGTAGTTACAAAAGCATGTTATTGTACTGTGTAAAGATACATAGTCATCTAATTTGGTTGGCTTTGTACCTTGTCCCTTTCTAAGCTTTTGCTGTACATCTAGAACCCTCAACACATACCGTGTCATGCTTCCTTTTGTAAATGATTTTTAATGGAATTTTGCACATAATACATTGTAATACTGTATGATAATCATCTGTGAAAATTATCCTTGAAATATTTTTTTTTTTTAAAAGCGCTTGTCGGGCTTCCCTGGTGGCGCAGTGGTTGAGAGTCCGCCGGCCGATGCAGGGCACACGGGTTCGTGCCCTGGTCCGGGAAGATCCCACATGCTGCGGAGCGGCTGGGCCCATGAGCCATGGCCGCTGAGCCTGCGCGTCTGTAGCCTGTGCTCCGCAACGGGAAAGGCCACAACAGTGAGAGGCCCACGTACCGCAAAAAAAAAAAAAAAAAAAAGCGCTTGTCTCGAGCCACGGCCTCTGTCCAAGTCGACTCACATTCCAAACAGCCCATGTGCAAGCTTAATTTCTAATGTTCCTCCTCCTGCACATCCTCAAGTTTTCCTAATACAGCTGTCCCTCGGTATTTTCAAGGGACAGCTTCCAGGATCACCATCCAATACTAAAATCCAAGGATGCTAAAGTCCATTACAGAGAATAGTGTAGTACATGTCACATAAGGGACTGTCAGCCCCCTCCCACCCTCCAGATCTGCAGGTGCGGAATCTGTGGATACGGAGGGCTGACTGTAAAGTATTGCTACTTTAAACTGTCCTTCTTAGAAGCAACATCATTCCATGGTAGACTCTGAAGTTCCAGACAAATAGTCTGGCAGAAACATGAACTGAACTCCTCAAAAGTAGTGAAGGGACAGACACAGAGAACAGACTTGTGATTGTCAAGGTGGGTTTGGGGAGGGATGGATTGGGAGTTTGGGACTAGCAGATGCAAGCTATTATATACAGAACGGATAAACAACGTCCTACTGCATAGTACAAGGAACTATTTTCAATATCCTGTGATAAACCATAATGGAGACGAATATGAAGAAGAATGTGTATATATATAACGGAGTCACTTTGCTGTACAGCAGAAATTAACACATCGTAAATCAAATATACATCAATAAAAATTTTTTTAAAAAGCAGTGAAGGGCTTCCCTGGTGGTGCAGTGGTTAAAAATCCGCCTGCCAATGCAGGGGACACGGGTTCGAGCCCTGGTCCGGGAAGATCCCACATGCCGCGGAGCAACTAAGCCCGTGCGCCACAACTACTGAACCTGCGCTCTGGAGCCCACAAGCGACAACTACTGAGCCCACGTGCCACAACTGCTGAAGCCCACACACCTAGAGCCCATGCTCCGCAACAAGAGAAGCCAACGCAATGAGAAGCCCATGCACCGCAATGAAGAGTAGCCCCCGCTCGCCGCAACTAGAGAAAGCCCGCGTGCAGCAACGAGAACCCAACGCAGGCAAAAATAAATAAGTAAATTATTTTTAAAAAGCATTGAAGGGAAACATCAAGATCAGATGAAAAACAAAAACAAACACACAGCACACAAGTCTCATCACTTGTATCTTGGCCCATGTACTATCACCTAACTTCCTGAACTTCAGCTTTCTGGGATACAACATACACTTTCAGGGCTTCCCTGGTGGCGCAGTAGTTGAGGGTCCACCTGCCGATGCAGGGGACATGGGTTCGTGCCCCAGTATGGGAGGATCCTGCATGCCAAGAAGCGGCTGGGCCTGTGGGCCATGGCTGCTGAGCCTGCGCGTCCGGAGCCTGTGCTCCGCAGCGGGAGAGGCCACAGCAAAGAGAGGCCCGCATACCGCCAAAAAAAAAAACAAAAACAAAAAAAAACATATACTTTCAGAATTTTAAATAAAAGTCTTTGTAAATTGAAGAGGATACATGTTTAAATAAAATATGTATACATTTTTACATGTTTGTAAAGTAACAAAATAACTAAAATTTCATTTTGACTCTAGAAGGTAAGTGGCCAAAGCCACCTTTCCAGAAATGTTTAACTAGGCAGCCGAGTTCTCCCAGGCAGCGAAATCAGGACACCTTGGCTCACGTGGTGCCCATCTCACACCTTCTGAACACCTTGTCTCCCTTCCCCCTCTGCCCAAGGATGACCATTCTTGAATTTTGTTTTATATTTTTTTTATACAGCAGGTTCTTATTAGTTCTCTGTTTTATACATATTAGTGTATACATGTCAATCCCAATCTCCCAATTCATCCCACCACCACCACCCCGCCCTCAGGGAAGTCCCCCAAGGTTGACCATTCTTGAAGCCACTGGGGTTCTTTGCTGCTGGGAAGTCAATAGGCCTCTTTGAAAACTTGGGGAAAGCGATGGACCCGCCCCGCCCCCCCAGGAAAAACATGCATATCTACCTCCTGCCATCAATGCGGCATGTGATTTAAAGCCTCCCCTTCCAGATTATAAGCCTCTCCTGCTCAGCCCTGCATGGGCCTCACTGGTGAGTTCCAGAAACAGAGCCCGCCAGCAGTCGGCAGCCAGGGACTGGGGGTCAGGCCACCAGGGGGATGGGGCAGGGCCTGGAGACAAGGCTCTACCAGAGCTGCACCTGCACCCAGAGGGTAGGGAGGGGGATGTCTGGCCCCGTGGGCATCTTTAGGGAGCTTGCCTTCCTTCTGCTGAGGCCCTTGACCTCGCAAGTGCCTCGGAAAGGTTTAGATGCAGCATGCACGACTTAGACTTATTTCCCCTCTCCGTTCTCCCTGGTTAGGAAAGGCACTAGACTCTTGTTTCTTTTTTGGCCATGCCACACGGCATGTGGGATCTTAGTTCCCCGACCACGGATCAAACCCACGCCCCCTGCAGTGGAAGCTGGGAGTCTTAACCACTGGGCCGCCAGGGAAGTCCCTACCGGACTCTTGCTTCTTCTAATCATGGCCAATATGCTGCAAGGCCTGCTAGGCGGTGATTCACTGAGCAGTGAACGCGACACCCGGCAAGCAGGCCGGTTTCGGGCAGCTCACAGAGGAGTGATGTATGCAAACCTCGAGGTCACCTGCTGTCACACAGAGAAATGTCCCGGGGGGCGGGGGGATGGGGGGTGAACTTACCGGTATTTGAGTAATTCTGGAGAATATTTTGACTTGGCTTTAAAAATCACCTGCAATGACAAAAAAACACGGCAAGTTGGGTACACAATCTGCTGACACTGACAAACTGATATAATTGCTTAGAACTCCCCTTTCCCTTGGTGCCTGGGCGCTGGGGCACGGCCTCTGAAATTGAGACGTCTGCTTTGTGAGAAAGTTTGTGAAGCTAAACATTGTTTAGGCTGTGCATACAATTTAAATTTAATTTGAAACTTAAAAGGAAGAGTATTTACAAATGGTTAAAATGTTTTGTTTTTTTTCAGGTATTACTGGTCTACCACTAGCCGGTACGTCCCTTATTTTAAGATTTATATTTGAGGGACTTCCCTAGTGGTCCAGTGGTTAAGACTCCACACTTCCAATGCAGGGGGTGTGGGCTCAGTCCCTGGTCGGGGAACTAAGATCCCACATGCTGCACAGTGTGGCCAAAAAAAAAATTTGTATTTGAGTCCATACTTCCCCCAGAGATAAACAGTTCACTCTCACTTTATTAGGACTTTCACTGGCACCAAAAGAATGTGGTTTGAATGTATGTGTGTCCATCGACTCAGGCCTCAAACTCTGCAGCCCACTGGACTACAGGAGTGTCAAACTCGATGACATGCTGCCTGTTGGAATTTCCCCAGATTTTCGCAGCCTGCACAGTCTGTTAACAGGCCCATGTGGGGGGCAGAGGCTGGCCTGGCAGAGCCTGTGAGAAGGCGAAGGGGAGACGGAAAGCAGGTATCAGCACAGGCTCCAGCCCCACGAGACACGCGGCTCTTCCCACGGAGGGGGTGTGTGCTCGCGGGAGCCCTGAGGGCGGTTACCGGTCAGGGTCTGGCTCGGGGTGCATTGGAGCAGCCATGCAGGTGCCCATACGCTTGCTCTCCTGACCCCCGGTGTCTGCGAGCGGGTGGCGGCAGCACGGGCAGGAGGAAAGGAAGGGTGTGGAAGAGGAGAGGAATGAGGACATTTTTTCAGAGATGCTCCTGCTGTGGACGGCGAGGGTCAGACGACCTGCGCTCTCTGCATCCAGGCTCTCCCTCTGCACGGAGCTCCCAAACATGCCCTGGGCACCCCACCCTTCCTCCTGCTGGCCCTGAGGGCTGCGATGTCCCGCTGGGAACCCACCATCCTCTGCCATGCGCTGTTCCCCTCTCCTCAGCCCTCTGGGCCCTTGGTACTTCCCTTGGGATTTACTCAGCCCCCAAACACCTGTCTAAGGGGGATAAACCCTGCCTGAGTGGTAAGGAGGGAAGGACAAGGGGAAAACAGGGTGGGGAGTGACAGCATGGTCCTGGTGACAGGGGAGGAGGGGACAGGCAGCCCTGGAACCCATGGGGGCTCATGGGGGTTCCATACTGTCGCCCTCCTGTCTGAGGAGCAAGCAGTGAGAAATCAGTCTGCTGGAGGGTTATGCGAACATAATGCTGGGAAAGCCTTCAGTGGATCCAAGTGCCCTGCCGTGTCTGCAGATGTAGACAGATGTCACGAGGGGCAGCAAGCCTCCAAGTGACCCTAGGGGCCGATTCCCACAAAACACGTGCAATAGAAGCAGCCATTCCCCCGGGAACCTTTTCAAAGACACTCTTCTGAGGACCCTCAGTAGTAATTCTCAGACTTATCCGTGCATAGGAATCACCCAGGGAACCTGCTAAAGATGCAAATCCCAGAGCCCCACCCTCTGAGGTGCCAAGCTGATGGGTCTGGGCTGGGGCCCAGGAAACTGCATTTTAATAGACTGCCCATCCCGAGCGAGTGATTCGGACTCGGGTTTGGCTAGCACAAAGACCACCTCCTAGGAAATACGAAAGAGATGAAAACTGCCTGACCTATTATTCTTGAGTAGCTTTGCAATCATTCATTTCAAACACACTGAAATACTTGATCACATCAATGAGATGACACCACAAGAGTCCAGGTACAGTGCCAAGAACAGAGATCGGGGGACGCTCCAAGCCCACGGACAGCACCCCACGACGTTCACGCTCACGCCTGCCTCAAACTTACAACAACGTGCCACCAACTGAGGACTCTAATCCTCAGAATCAACATCTGGGTGAGAGGGGAACCGCAGACATTCCTACAGACTTTACAATAAGCAAACCCACGCCCCGCTTTTTAAAAACACATTTTCAGAGCTTCACAGAGGAGCATTCCAAACTTATGGAGGAATTATTTTGTTTGTGATGTGAGTTTTGTCTCTGTCCTAAATCCCTTTGGGAAGGAGATAGGAAGTAGGGGTTCACATCACAAATAAAGTACCTGGTAAAAACACAAAGAGATGGCGTGAGTACACTGCCCTTACGTCAAAGGGGCCCTGTGCTCAGCTTTCTCTGACAAGCTCCCGTGGGATTTTAGGCAGGTCACATCACCTTTGGTATTTCTCTGCAGCCCATGAGAAAGAGAAAAGTTATAAAACAACCTCCCTTAGGAATAAGACATAGATTAATACATCACTCCAAAGTTCTGTTACTGATAATACTGATTCATGCAACCTATAACAATGCTCTCAGAAAAACGCTCTTATAATACATAGTACTTGAGGATCTTGCTTTTAAATAATCAAGAGAATTCTTGGGGCTTCCCTGGTGGCACAGTGGTTAAGAATCCTCCTGCCAGTGCAAGGGACACAGGTTCAAGCCCTGGTCCAGGAAGATCCCACATGCCGTGGAGCAAACAAGCCCATGCACCACAACTACTGAGCCTGCGCTCTAGAGCCCACAAGCCACGACTACTGAGCCCGCATGCCACAACTACTGAAGCCCATGCTCCGCAACAAGAGAAGTCACCACAATGAGAAGCCCGTGCACAGCAACGAAGACCCAATGCAGCCAAAAATAAATAAATAAATTTAAAAAAAGAAAAAAGAGAATTCTTCACAGATATCAAAGTGAGGAGACGGGCGGAAGAGGGGGAAGATGGCGTTAGAGTAAGACGTGGCGATCACCATCCTCCCCACAGATACATCAGAAAACATCTACACGTGGAACTGCTCCTACAGAACACCCACTGGATGCTGGCAGAAGACCTCAGACCTCCCACAAGGCAATAAACTCCCCACGTACCTGGGTAGGGCAAAAGAAAAAAGAATAAACATTGACAAAAGAATAGGGACGGGACCTGCACCAGTGGGAGGGAGCAGTGAAGGAGGAAAGATTTCCACACACTAGAAGCCCCTTCGCGGGCGGAGACTGCGGGAGGCGGAGGGGGGAGCTTCGGAGCCGCAGAGGGCAGCCCAGGAACAGGGGTGCGGAGGGCAAAGCGGAGAGATCCCCGCACAGAGGATCGGTGCCGACCGGCACTCACCAGCCCGAGAGGCTTGTCTGCTCGCTCACCCGCCAGGGCCGGCGGGGCTGGGAGCCGAGGCTCAGGCTTCAGTCGGAGCGCAGGGAGAGGACTGGGGCTGGCGGCGTGAGCACAGCCTGAAGGGGTTAGTGCGCCACGGCTGGCCGGGAGGGAGTCCGGGGAGAAGTCTGGAGCTGCCGAAGAGGCAGGAGACTTTCTCTTGCCTCTTTGTTTCCTGGGGCGCGAGGAGAGGATTAAGAACGCTGCTTAAAGGAGCTCCAGAGACGGGCGCGAGCCGCGGCTGTTAGCGCGGATCCCAGAGACGGGCAGGAGACGCTAAGGCTGCTGCTGCCGCCACCACCAAGAAGCCTGTGTGCGAGCACAGGTCACTCTCCACACCCCGCTTCCGGGGAGCCTGTGCAGCCCGCCACTGCCAGGGTCCCAGGATCCAGGGACAACTCCCTGGGAAGAACGCATACCCCTCCCTCTCCCAGGCCTGAGTGAGCCAGAGCCCCCTAATCAGCTGCTACTTTAACCCATCCTGTCTGAGCAATGGACAGATGCCCTCAGGCGACCTACATGCAGAGGCGGGGCCAAATCCAAAGCTGAACCCCAGGAGCTGTGAGAACAAAGAAGAGAAAGGGAAATCCTCCCAGCAGCCTCAGGAGCAGCGGATTAAAGCTCCACAGTCAACTTGATGTACCAGCATCTGTGGAACACCTGAATAGACAACGAATCATCCCAAATTGAGGAGGTGGACTTTGAGAGCAAGATTTATTCCCCTTTTCCTCTTTTTGTGAGTGTGTATGTGTATGCTTCTGTGTGAGATACTGTCTGTATAGCTTTGCTTCCACCATCTGTCCTAGGGCTCTGTCTGTTCGTTTTTGTTTAGTTTTGTTTTTACTTAAAAAAATTTTTTTTCTTGATAATTATTTTTTATTTTAGTAACTATTTTATTGTATCTTACTTTATTTTATTTTATCCTCTTTCTTTCTTTCTATTTTTTCTCCCCTTTATTCTGAGCCGTGTGGATGAAAGGCTCTTGGTGCTGCTGCCAGGAGTCAGTGCTGTGCCTCTGAGGTGGGAGAGCCAACTTCAGGACACTGGTCCATAAGAGACCTCCCAGCCGCACATAATATCAAATGGTGAAAATCTCCCAGAGATCTCCATCTCAACACCAACACCCAGCTTCACTCAACGACCAGCAAGCTACAGTGCTGGACACCCTATGCCAAACAACTAGCAAGACAGGAACACAACCCCACCCATTAGCCGAGAGGCTGCCTAAAATCATAATAAGGCCACAAACACCCCAAAACACACCAACAGACATGGACCTGCCCACCAGAAAGACAACATCCAGCCTCATCCACCAGAACACAAGCACTAGTCCCCTCCACCAGGAAGCCTACACAACCGCACTGAACCAACCTCAGCCACTGGGGACAGACACCAAAACAACAGGAACTACGAACCTGCAACCTGTAAAAAGGAGACCCCAAACACAGTAAGATAAGCAAAATGAGAAGACAGAAAAACACACAGCAGATGAAGGAGCAAGATAAAAACCCACCAGACCTAACAAATGAAGAGGAAATAGGCAGTCTACCTGAAAAAGAATTCAGAATAATGATAGTAAAGATGATCCAAAATCTTGGAAATAGAATAGAGAAAATTCAAGAAACATTTAACAAGGACCTAGAAGAACTAAAGAGGAAACAAGCAACGATGAACAACACAA